CTGTGTGTAAAAGCACTCAGAACTGTTTTGTGCTATTACATTTTACCATTTCTAATCCTGAATCTATCCTACCTATTTGAGAAAATAATTTTTGAATTAATTGTTTGTGCTGGGAGATGATGGGAAAGGAGACATTACAGAGAACAATCACCCAGATATTATTAAACTTTTATGAAAAACATGGTTTTACTCTTGCCACATGTTAGAAGTATCTTCTTTTTTCAAGTGTGAGTGGTATTGTATACTGTATTATACAATACAGTCCAACAACTAGTGAGTTCATTGGAAATCCTTTTGACAAGCTTTTAAAAGGAGTGCTGTCTACTTTCTCTCCTAATGTCTCTGCATCCATTTACTTTCAGTGCCTCCTGTTTTTATGCTGGTACAGATCTACAGAAATCATTCATTTTTAGTCCCGAAAAACTGTCTCTAGTCAGATGAAAAAGTCAATTTTACTAACATTACTTAAAAAGAAAATGACAAATCGGCTTTCTGTTTGTTTTGACTTTTCTTATTTTCAAACTCATTTCTTTCTTTTGTCTGAATATTTTCTGCAGTGATTAGAATGTACGGAGACTCTTCTGACCCAGCTTAGCCAGATTTATATAGGGAAGACAGTATTTCTAATTAGATACTATTCTACAATTTGCTTTCCTCCTGGAAGTTCCATGATGCCATAAATACAGTGACCTTGTTCTCCTAATTATAGTTGATCAGTTCTTATTTTGACACAAACTTCTGCTTTTTATTCCTGCGGGATGTTGTGCTCATATGCATATGCAGCAGATTATGTTCATGAGACCAGCATAACTGTGTGCTGGACTTGACTTTTACATGTGAGATATTCCATCTCAAATATATTTCCTTCATTTTGCTGTCTTAGAGAATGGTTTCCACAATGAACATCAGAAAGAGTGAAACTGGCTTGTATATCTCTTCTTAAATGCTTCTCTTACTGTTGGTAAACATGACCTTGTCTTGATACTACGACTTTTAATTTTTCTGTCCTCTATGACGGACATTCTTCAGAGACATTTTGCTTTGTATACAGTTAATTCTCAGATGTCAATCTTTATTTATTTATTTACTTTATTTATTTATTTATTTTATTTTATTTATTTACTTTTAAAATTTTAAATTGAAAATGGATTATTTTCTTATAGTATATGGTTTCTCACCTTCCAACTTGTCCCAGATTCTCTCTAACTCCCCTCAACCCATATATTTAAAAATCCTTGGAGACAACTGATTTTTCATCAATCAATCAGCAGCCATTGGTTAGCTCTGTTATTTAGACCACCATACTGTTGAAATCTCTTGGGTGCAGCTTCTAAGCCGTATTTAAAAGACACTATCCTCCCAGTAGTATCCTGGTCTCTAATTCTCATCATATTTGCTCTTCTCTTTTTTGTGATTTTTTTTCTCTGAGCCTTAGGTATAAGGGTTCTGAGTAAAATAACCCACATTAAGAAAAACAATTGCCATATGTTCTCTCTTTTTTTTATGGATCCTAGCTCAAATTCTTTACATTTAAGTATATAACATGTAGTAACTATAGGAAGTATAAAATAGAAAGGGAGCATGCTGGGAAGGGAGAAGAAGCACATGTGTTATGAAAACGGTACTGAGAAAAACTGGTGTCTTTTCCTGGGGAGTGAGAGGGAGAAAAATGCAGGAGAAGGATAAAGGAGAGGCAATAGATACTTAAGAGTATCTGAGAAAATAAACAGGGAAATCATTATTTTTTTAAAAGGACTTCAAGTGTGTGTGTGTGTGTGTGTGTGTGTGTGTGTGTCTGAAAGAGACAGAGAGACAGAGAAAGACAGAGACAGAGACAGAGAGACAGACAGAAAGAGACAGAGACAGAGAAACCTGCCTATGGGTTTGTCAGGGGATCCCTAGGGACTCCGAAAATAATATAGAGAAATGTCATTGCTCCATTCCACTTGGTTGTGTCCCTGAACATGAAGTTAAGACTACTTTGGAAAATAGCCCACAGTGTTGACACAGAACTTGGTGGAATCAAGCCAGAACTGTGCTGAAATCCTCCTCCGTAAAGACTAGCTTGCTCTCATAGTATCCAAATGTGCATTGCAAGCTGCCAAGGGAGAAAGCAATCAAAACTCCTACCCAGCTGTAGAGCCTCCAAACACACCAGTGACCTAGAAGATTACCAATACTACTGTAGTGGCACCTTTATCTTCACTGTAATCAACACTGTCTAATTAAACTTCAATTGTTCTCACTAGGAGGAGAATTCGTGATTGGCTCTGTTAACCTCTTTAACTACCCATGGCTGGAGAGGAGAAACAGTTAAATAGAGACATCATGGTTGAGAAGCAATTAGTCAAGCATGGGTGAGGAAGGATTCATGCCAGTGTGCAGGCTGATTCAGAACCTCACCTAGGCTGTTCACCAGGAACACCCAGGACATGAGAGGATGACTCATGGTTCCTAAAATGCAGAGATGGAGGCTTCTACTAGCCAGCAAGTATATTCGCTTACTTTGTGATATCCACAGTCTAATGAACGAAAACACTGTAATATACATCAATAACTCAGTTTTAC